AATATGTTTTCAGCACCTTTGAGCTGTGCTTCCTCACCTTCCTCTATGCCTATTATTCTTAGGTTTGGCCTTTTCATGGTTTCCCACATTTCCTGGATGTTTTGTGTTAAGGATTTGTTGGATTTATGATTTTCTTTGGTCAATGAATCTATTTCTTCTAGTTTATCTTCTGCGCCTGAGATTCTCTCTTCCATCTCTTGAATTCTGTTGGTTATGCTTGTGTCTGTAGTTCCCGATTTTTTGTCCAGTTTTTTTTTATTTCCAGCAATCCTTTGGTTTGTGTTGCCTTTATTTTCTCTATTTCAGTTTTCAAGTCTTGAACCGTTTCCTTCACCTGCTATATTGCTTTTTCTTGGCTTTCTGTACTTTCTTTACTTTCCTTAAGGAATTTGTTCATTTCTTCCACTTTTTTTGTTTGTTTTTTCCTCCATTTCTTTAAGGGATTTTCTCAAATATTCTTTGAGGGCCTCTGTCATTTTATGATGGTAATTTTTAAGTCGTTCCCTTCTGCTTCCTCTGCTTTGTTGTTGTGTTCCTTTCTAGTTGGTGTAGATTCCCTAGATTTTGGTGGTGTCATGCTTATTCTTTCTGTTGTTAAGTGTTTTCTTGTATTGCTGTCTTCCCATAGCTTCTTCCAGTAGGTGTTGGTGGGGACTCTCCCTCTCTCTATGGTACTTCCCCGGTGGGCTTATGTGGGTCAGAGATACAGTAGCTCTGGGTGATCCAAGCTCTATAGGAGGTCTCTCTGCAGACAAGGACCCAGGGATGAGGTCAGGCATGAGGATCCAGTAGAAGATGCCTCTAGCCAATGGCTCTAGCCAATTGCTGGTGGAAGAGGACAAAGACTGAACTGAAACTTGTGAGGTTTCTGCAGGATAGTATGATCTCACTGGAAACTGGTACTCTCCAGCTGAGGCCTCTTTCTTTAGCAGAGGCCCTGCTTTGGGGGTCAAGGATCTTTCCTGTGGGAACTCAGAGTGGACCTGCAGAGATAGGCGGATTTCTGGGAGGGGCCAGGGACTCCAACAGAGGACTGGAGGTGGGGTCAGAGACCAAGCACTTGGAAATTACAGGTGGTCCCGAGTGGATAGGCAGGTCTTCTTTGTTCAGAGTTGCTCTGAGAAGTCCCCGAAGTAGTGGGGACTGTTGGCTCCACGCTCTGTCCCAGTGCTCAACCAGAGTGGCTGGACAGTGGGCAGGGTAGGGCACAGGGTAGGGGAGGCAGGCTCATGGTGGGGATGGGTGGGGTGTATCAGAGCTCCAAGAGTGCTCTCGATGGGGACAGGACACAGGAGCAGCAGGATCAGGGGCCAACCCAGGGAGTTCGGGGGTGGGGGAGGTTGTAGGGGAGAGGCAGCTCCAATTGGGCCCAGACTCACCTCTAGCCAATGGCTGGAGGAAGAGGACAAAGGCTGAGCTGGGTGGTTTCTGCAAGATTGATCACAGCAACTCTTACAAGGTGAATCATTTATTGGGGCTTGTTTACAGTTTCAGAGGTTTAGTCCAATATACCCATAGTGTGGAATATGGTAGAATACAGTCAGACATGATAACTGGGAGTTCTATATCTGCATCCACAAGCAGCAGGAACAGGAATGAGTCACTGAGCCCCGCTTAAGCTTTTGAAACCCAGTGCCAACCATCAGTACCACACTTCTTCCTAGACGGCCACATCTACACCAACAAGGCCATACCTCCCTATCCCTCTCAAGTAGTAGAAGTCCCTGAGAACCAGTCATTCAAATATATGAGCATATGAGGACCATTCTTACTCAAACCACCACATTTCACTCTTTAGCCCATAGACTTACAGCCATATAATTATGCAAAAATATATTCACTCTAATTTCAAAATGTCCTATAATCCATAACAGTCTCGACACTGTTTAAAAATTTAAAGTCTCTTAACTGTATTACCCTATAAAGTTAAATTTCAAAACAGATCACATGCTTCCTGTTATAGTTTTAAAATGGCAGGAAAGAAGCCATATGGCAGATCTCAGGTGGAGGGTTTTACTGGGGAAGAGGCTTGGAAAGTGGAGAAAGACCAGCCTCTGGAGACAGGAGCTGTGGAAGAGTACAAGAGAGACAGGGAAGGGCCTGCCTTTTATGAGGGAACCTAGCACATACGTTGTAGGGATGAGCAACCTGCCAAGTCCCCAAGGGACATGCCAGCATAATGCCTGAATGTTAACACTTCCAACATAAAATGGCACAGGATATGCATTACCATTTCAAAAGGGAGGAAAGGGAGCATAGTGAAAAAAATATTGGACCAAAACAAGAACAAAAACAATTGGGGAAACTCCAGTTCCTGCATCTCCATGTCTCAGGTCAAAGAGCTCTTCAAATCTCCCACTAATTTCAGCTTTGTTGACTGAAGCTCATCTCTCTCTTGAGCTGGTTCCACACATACTCTGCAGAATTCCTTGGCAGGTGACCCATGGCTCTTTCATCGCTAGTATCTTGAGTTCTCCAACAAAATCTAAGTTTCACCTTCACAGCTTCATTCAGTGGTCTCTCTCAGCCTCCATGCAGAGTCACTGGTGACACATGCCTGGCCTCAGCATCTTTACTTAGCTGCAGAGGGGGATTTCATAGCCTCTTTCTTGTGTTCTTGACTCTAAAGCCAGGACCATTGTGACTAAAGCTGCCAAGTTCCACTGCTGGCTGGGGCTGGAACTTGGGCTGCTTGTTGAAATGTATTTCCACCAGCCTCTTGTTGTCAATATCCATCACTGTTAAAACTTTTCTTTAATTCCTTTCTACAATTTGGAATCTTAGCTGCATGGGGTCTTGCCCTCTGGTCTCCAATCACCTTAATCCATTTGCCATCAGGCTTATATTTAAAACTTCTAGCTTGTTTACCAACCATAACTTCCTTACAATCCATGCTGCTCATTTTCTCCTCAAACTGTGTATTTTGTACTTTCCCTTTCTCATCCTGCTCCTTTTCATTAGAGATCAGCATAGGTGTGATTACTAAGAACCATATAACAAGAGTCAATAGTAGTCTCTCTTGAGATCTCCTCTGCCAATGCCATTATTCCTTAACTCCTCAATTTAGCCCATGGGAAATTTTTAGGATAAGGGCAAAAAGCAGCCACATTCTTTGCCAAAATATCATTAAAACAGTCATTAGGTCACTTCCTAATATTATTCTACTCTAAAACCTTTCAGCCAGACCATCATAATCTGCATTGCTCTAAGTACTACAGCATTGCTACTACTACGGCCCATTAAGTCATGCTTAAAGCATTCAGCTGTTTTTCTAGTCCAGAGTCTCAAAGTCTACATTATGCCTAAAAGAAGAATGGCCAGTTCCATGACAGCAATATCCTGGTCCCTGGTATCTACTTCTGTCTTAGTCACCGTTCTGTTGTTATGAAGAGACACTATGACACTGGGCCTGGTTTGCATTTTTTATAGTTCAAACAGCACCTTCAGTGACATACTTCCTGAAGCAAAGCCACACCTACTCCCACAAGGCCACACCTGCTAGTTCCCCTCAAGTAGTCTGACTCCCTGAGTAGCAAACATTCACATATATCAGCCTATGGAGACCATATTTATTCAAATTCCCATCCTTTCCTTATCTTAGCCTCTTACAATGTGTGTTTATTTTATCTGTTGATAATTTTAAAAATAATACATTGCTACTTAACATGTATTTATTTGTTTCTGGTTCCTTAATTATTGGTAGGATTTATCCATAATTTTAGAGGAAGTATAGTTTACTAAATCTCTTTTTAAATGAATTTTTTTGCGTAGTACTACCTGAGTCTAATATGTCCTGCCCTTATGCCCATAAGTGTGGGCCCATCCAATACAATGTGCTACAAAATATATTCTTAACTTGCAATTTAGTTTTATTATGACAAATAGCCAGGTGGTAGTGGCACACACCTTTAATCCCAGCACTTGGGAGGCAGAACCAGTCAGATCTCTGTGAATGTGTGGCCAGCCTGGTCTACAGAGTAAGTTCCAGGATAGCTAGGGTTGTTACACAGAGAAACCTTGCCTCAAAAATGAAGCAGAAGGAGGAGGAAAAGGAGGAGGAAGAAAAGAAGAAGAAGAAAGAACATGACAAATCATGTTTATATGAATATCTTTATTCATATTTTTTGGAGAACACATGCATGCACTTCTGTGAGATTAATGGTATGAGAAGACATACTTCTTGAAAAGGATGTTTATGTGATAAGGTAACTCATAGGGTGTTCACTAAGTAACTAGCAGAATTTCCAGTTCATTCAGCAGTGTATGTGAAGTATATTGTTTCTGCATATTCTCCAACTTAACATTGTTTGTCTTTTATTGTAGATATCTGGTGCATATGTAGTCCTTAGTTTAACCTTTATTTTCTTGATAAACAAGTTGATCACCTTAAGTAAGTACATGAGCAATCCAGTCAGGTGAAGAATAATATATACTTTATGGTATATTTGTATAATATATATATATATATATATATATATATATATATATATATATGCTTTAGTAAAATGATACAGGCTTGGTCACGTATTTATGCATGTTAAGCATATATACATACATATTATCCTATATTTATTAATTTACAATTCCTAATTTTAACATTAATATGTATTAGAGAATATGTGCCAGAAACCATTTTAGAAAATAGATATTCAATGTTTAAGAACGTACTATAATTCTCCTTCTTCTCTTTGTCTCTGTATCTGTCTGTCTGTCTCTGCCTTTCTCTCTCCTACTTCTGAGTTTCCAATTAAGGGTACTGAAAGTGACAGGCAGAATGTTTCCTTTTTAATTGAGACATAGTCTAAACTATGCATCATAGGTTGGTCTTGAATACACAATCTTCCTTCCTCCATCTGGAATGTGTCATCACACATGGGTTATTTTTTTACTGATCAGAAGAGGCAATAACTATGGTAATCATAAAGTAGGGAGACGAGTTATTTGAAAACTCTCCAGAAGTATGGGAGTACATATCCCTTAACAATGAACCTCACTTTCAGAATCTTCATACAGAATAAGGTATAATGATTATGTGACAGCTGTCCTAGGAGAAAATGTGACCATCTTCTGCAACTTGACAACTCTGGCAAATGTTGAGCAAGTCACCTGGCAGAAAATCCAAGGGTCTCTGCCACAAAATATCGGCACTTACAGTCATAAATATGGAGAAAATATTCTCCTGCCATATGTAAACAGGCTGCACTGCAATATTCTGGAACCCAATGCCTCCTTCATAACTATCCAAGAAGTGACATTTGAAGATGAAGCCTGCTACAAGTGTCTGTTCAACACTTTTTCATTTGGCAGCCACAGAGGACAAACGTGTCTCAACATTCTAAGTATATAACCCTTTTTCTAGGGTCCTATAATGGGGCAGACATCCTGGGGTTATAGTGTTTAAGGACATTGTCCAGGGAGTTAAATGAAGGAAAACTGGTGATGAGTCCACGTTACTTAGACAGGAGAAAATAACAAGGCCGATGTGATTGTGCACTGAGGCAGGGCCTTCTCCCTTACAGTACACTGAACTGGTTTCCGTTAAGGGGAGAAAACCCCGGAAGGGCATCAGAACTTTGTTACTAAGGCAAAGAGAAGATATGAGAAAAGAAAGAGATAGCAGAGAAAAACAGGGAAAGGTGAAGACGAAGGGAACTAGGGTTCCCCAGCCTTCAAGTAAGCAATATATTCAGTACCAGTGAGAACCAGAGTTCCTTATTTATCGTGCTGCTGTAAGTGTGAGTGTTGGGGTGTATATAATATAATTTATAGTTGCATAGAACTTAAGACGGCAGTCAGTGAAGAGAAGAAATGTTATTGGAAGTTTTATGACATGCGACGGGGAGGTATACAAGAGGGATATGTTTTCAGCATTTATATGTCACCTGAAAATTGGGAAAACACCATATCCTTTAACAGCAGAGAATTTGGTATGACATACCTTTAATTCGTCTCCTTCTTTTTGCCTCAGCTGTATCTAAATTAATAACCAAACTCAGTTCTGTTACTGGCTCTGAAGATCTCCTTAACCTTCAATGTTCAGCTGTGGGAAAGCCTGCTCCCGGAATCTCCATTTACCCTTCCCAAGACCTAGTGTACTCACAAAAGGAGTTCTTTACTAAAAACCCGAATACCACAGTGACTGTCACTAAAATATACAACATCTCTTTGAAAACTGTGAGGTCGCTGGGTCTACAGGACGTAGTTGTGTCCATGACTCACCCCATAAGAGATGAAGAGAAGATAGTTCCTCTGCCAATAAATCAAGAAGGTAAGTAGAAATGACATCAAAATCAAAGGGAACAGTTAGAGTTGGGAAAATAGCTTAGTCTGTAAAAATGCTTGCCATGAGATCATGGAGACCCAAGTTTGAACCCCAGCACCCATATAAAAAGCCAGTTGAGGCTTGCAGATAGACATTTTAACATTTTTTTTTGTCACATAGTATCTTTATGTTTTAAGGAACATTTCCATAACACTTTAATTCATATTCAGTTTTTGCTCTTTTAGTCAATTTTGTAGCAGTCATTGGCTTTTCTTCATTTTTAAATTTAATTTTTAAATCAGCATATAATGTACTAGATTGTAGAAAACATTTTCAAACATTTCAAAAATTCAAAAGTGAATTTTTTTGACTTCTCTTCCTCCCATTTTCCTCATACCCTTGCTACGCCATCCCTCCTGCCTTGGAACTTCTTCAATCCCAGTTAATTTTCTTCTTCCATGACTCATGTGTCCTTATGTAAACACACCTGGTCCTAGCTCATCACCTAATACTATTACTCTCTGTCTCTTTTTCAAATGTTTTTTAGACTTTACCCACACTTAGTCTTGTTTACATACATACACACATGCACCCACACATGTATGCACCCACACATGCACACACGCACACACATGCTCACACAAGCTACATTCCATATATAAGGCAGAACATGTGGGTTTTATCATTTGAGTTTGGTTTCACCTTGTTTAATATTAATGCTTTCCAGACCCATCCATTTTTCAATTTTTAACAAATTTCATGATTTTTTTTACTTACAGCTGAATAATATTAAATTGTATTAGTCATTTGTCTGTTGATGGACATCTAGGCTATGAGTGTAGCAGCAATATGCATGGATGTTCAAGTGCTTCTGTGGTAGGTAGAATCTGGAGTCCTTTGAGTATATGCCCAGAAGTATGTAGCTGAATCATTTGGTAATTCTCTTTTTTAAAATTTTGTGGTGCCTCCAAATCAATGTCCATAGCATCTGTATTAATTTGTACCCCACTAGTGGTGAGTAAGCATTCCTCTTTTCTCTAGTCCCCTTGAACATCTCTTATCCTTTTTCTTTTTAATAGTCCTCTGACTGGGGTGAAGTGGTATCTCAAAGTAGTTTTAATTTGCATTTCCTTGATAACTGACATTGAGGGTTTTTTGTTTGTTTGTTTGTTTTTGTCAATTACTTACTGAAGGCCTATTAAGGTGATTCAATGGCTAAAACTATTGGCTGCTCTTCCAGTGGGCGGGATTAGATACCTAGCACCCATATGGCAACTAAAAACTCTCTGCAATTCCAATTCTAGCAGATCTGACACCATCTTTTGCGCTCTGTGGGCACCACACACTTACATTGTACAAAGAAATATTCAGGCAAAATACTCACACATATAAAGTAACCATGACTCTTGTTCTGGGTAATAAGCTTTGTAAGTGGGAGATACCGTTTAGTTTTCTCTGGTAGCATGCAGAGTATCATTCAGCACGATGGACAATGTAATAGCTAATAAATCTTGAACTCAAATTATAATTGCTGTGAGAATAAATCATACTTTGAAATATTTAAAATATAATCATGAATACAATCTCAAGAAAAACTAATATATTTGTGTCTAAGTTTGGGTTTCTATTGCACTGAAGAGACACCATTACCACAGCAACTTTGACAAAGGAAAAACATTTAATTGCAGTTAGCTTAAAGTTTCAGAGGTTTAATCCATTATACTACATCTTAATCTGCAGGCAGCAGGAAACTGTGTCACACTAGATGTATATGAGACCTCAAAGTCTGCCACCACAGTGGCACACTTCCTCCAACAAGGCTACATTCTCTAATAATGTCATTCCCTATGGGCTAAGTATTCAAACACATGAGTCTATGGGAGCCATTTATATTCAAACTACCACATTCTGGACCCTATAGACTTATAGCCATAATATAATAAAGAAATACATTCAGTCCAACTTTAAAAGTCCCCATAATCTATAATAGTCTAAACCTGTTTAAAAGTCCAAATTTCTTTTTTTTTTTTAATTTTTCCCCAGTTCTCTCTCCCTCCCATCCTCCCATGTCCCCCACATCTGGCCCCCCATCCCATCCCCATCCACTCCCCAGTTAGGGTGAGACCTTCCATGAAGGATCATCAAAATCTGTCAAGTCATTTGGAGTAGGGCTTAGGTACTTCCCCATGTCTCTAGGCTAAGGGAGTAACCCTCCATGGCGAATGGGCTCCCAAAGTCCGTTTGTCCACTAGGGATACATCCTGGTTACACTGTCAGAGGTCCCATAGACTGCCCAGGCTTCCTAACTGAGATCCACGTTCAGGTGGTCTGGGTCGGTTCTATGCTAGTTTCCCAGCTAAGAGTCTGGGGTCCATGAGCTCCTCCTTGTTCAGGTAGCTGTTTTTGTGGGTTTCTCCAGCTTGGTCTTGACTGCTTAACTCATCACTCTCCCTCTCTGCAACTGGATTCTAGGAGTTCAGCTCAGTGTTCAATTGTGGATGTCTGCCTGTGCTTCTGTTAGCTACTGAATGAAGGTTCTAGGATGGCATATAAGGTCTTCATTAATCTCATTATCATGGAAGGGCATTTAAGGTAGCCTCTCCACTATTGTTTAGATTGTAAGTTGGGGTCATCATTTTAGGTCTCTGGATATTTCCCTAGTGCCGGATTTCTCTTTAAACCTGTAATGGCTCCCTCTATCATGGTATCTCTTTTCTTGCTCTCCTCTATTCTTCCCCTAACTCAATCTTTCTGCTCCCTCATGTTCTCTTCTCCCCTCCTCTTCTCACCTTCTCTTTCTCCTAATTCCATCTCCCTTCCCTCACCTGCTCCCAATTTGCTCAGGAGATCTTGTCCTTTTCCCCTTCTGTGGTAGACCATGTATGTCTCTCTTAGGGTCCTTCCTGTTTCCTAGCTTCTCTGGTAGAGTGATCCTTTGCTCTATGTCTAAAATCTATATAATCTATATATGAATGAGTACATACCATGTTTGTCTTTTATGTGACTGGGTTACCTCATTCAGGATGGTTTCTTACAGTCCCATCCATTTGCCTGCAAATTTCAAGATTCCATTGTTTGTTTGTTTGTTTAGTTTTGTTTTTTGTTTTTTGTTTTTCTGCTGAGTAGTACTTCATTGTGTAAATGTACCACATTTTCTTTATCCATTCTTCAGCTGAGGGGCATCTAGGTTGCTTCCACATTCTGGTTATTACAAATAATGCTGCTATGAATATAGTTGAACAGATGTCTTTGTTGCATGAATGTTCATCCTTTGGGTATATGCCTAAGAGTGGAATTGCTGGATCTCATGATGGACTGATTCCTATTTCCCTGAGGAACCACCATACTGATTTCCAAAATGGCTGTACAGTTTACACTCCCACCAGCAGTGGAGGAGTGTTCCGATGTCTCCACATCCTCTTCAGCATAAACAGTCTGTGGTGCATTTGATTTTAAACATTTTGACAGATGTAAGATGATATCTTATGTTTTGTTTTGATTTGCATTTCTCTAATATCTAAGGATGATGCACACTTTCTTAAGTGTCTTTCAGCCATTTTAGATTATGTTACTGAGAATTCTCTATTTAGTTCTGTACCCCATTTTTAAATTGAATTATTTGGTGTTTTGGTAACTAGCTTCTTGAGTCCTTTGTATATTTTGGAGATTAGTCCTCTTTCAGATGTGGGGCTGATGAATATCTTTTCCCATTCTGTGGGATGCCTGTTTTGTCTTGTTGACTGTGTTCTTTGACTTACAGAAGCTTTTCAGTTTCAGGAGATCCCATTTACTAATTCTTGAAATCTCAGTGTCTGTGCTACTGGTGGTATGTTCAGGAAATGGTCTCCTGTACCAATTTTTTCAAGGGTACCTCCTACTCTCTTTTCTAAGAGGTTCAGTGTGACTATATTTATGTTGAGGTCTTTGATCTGTTTGGACTTAAGTTTTGTGCATGGTAATAGATAAAGATCTATCTGCAGTCTTCTACATGCCAGCATCCAGTTATGCCAGCACCATTTGTTGAAATTGCTTTCTTTTTTCCATTGTATAAATTTAGCTACTTTGTCAAAAATCAGGTGTTGCTGGGTATGTGGATTAATATCTGGGTTTTCAATTCTATTCCATTGGTCTACCTGTCTATTTTTGCACCAATACCAAGCTATTTTCAGGACTCTAGCTCTATAATAGAGCTTGAAGTCAGGGATAGTGATACCTATGGAATTTCCTTTATTGTACAGGGTTGTTTTGGATGCTGGGAATTAAGGCATGCACTACCACAACTGCCTTTAAGCTTTTCTTTAATTCCTTTACACAGGTTGGAAGCTTAGCTGGGTGGGGTCTTGCCCTGGAGTCACCACTCTCTTTATTCCATTTAACAGCTGGCTATTCTTTAATCTGTGTATTTCCTTGAACACACTATTTAGTTCCATTCCACTTTCTGGTGCCCCTTTCCCTCTCAAACTATACATTTTGTATTTTTACTTTCTCAATTTGCTCTTTTTCATTATAAATTTATATAAGAGTAAACACTAGTAACTGTATGACATCGTCTATATTAGGCTGTTTTGAGATTTCATTTGCCAATGCAATTAATTTCTAACTCTTCAACATAAGGCAGACTTTTTGGATAAGGCAAAAAGTAACCACATTTTAGCCAAAATGTGACAAGAACAGTCTCTAAGTCACATACTAAATTTTTCTCCTCTGACACCTTTTGAACCAGGTCCTCACAGTTCAAACCACCCTCAGCACCACTGCCTACTATGCTTCCATACCAGTATGGGTCATTAAACTCCACTAAAGCAAACCATTTCTTTCTTAATCCAAAGTCACCAAAGCCACACTTCCACAAACAAAATCATGGTCAGGCCTACCAAAGCATTACCCCAGTCCTGGTACCAACTTCTGTCTTAGTTATGGTTTCTATTGCTGTGAAGAGACACCATGACCATGGCAACTCTTATAAAGAAAAATATTTAATTGGGGCTGGTGTACAATTTCAGACATTTAGTCCTTTCTGGTCATGGTGGGACATGGTGGCTTGAAGGCAGACATGATACTGGAGAAGATGAGAGTTCCACATCTTGATCCAGAGGCAGCAGAACATGAGATCTCAAAGATCACCAGTAACACACTTTCTACAACAATGTCACACCTCTTAATAGTGCCACTCAGAAGTCTATGGGAGCCATTCTTATCAAACCACCACAGATAATGCAGAGGTTTGTTACCTGATCCTAAAAGGATTCAAATTATTCTCCAAGGGAAAATAAGGCTTATAAAATTAAACAGGCCATTCAAGTAATAATATTAGTTATACTGTAAATGTTTAAGGTAAGTGTAATACTATTCCATGAATTTTTAAATAGTATCAAGTAATATAATCTTTCTTCAAACTATGCATTGACAGCTCAAGCAGTTTGTTGCAAATCAAGAGAAGAATAAGGAAGTTTTGTGTATTGTTTTCTTTCCCTGTTGTGCATAAGTACAAGCTGGTGAGTTTCCCATGCCCTCATTTGATGGCATAGTATGCAGTAAGCCTCTGGCTTTAAATCTTGTTCCTGTCTCTATACATTGACTGAGAATAAAATGAGAACATGTAATGATATAATTTCGTAAAGAGACCTGGTCTATTTTGTTCTGATATTAGAATATAATGCTGACATTTGGTTTTTATAAACTCAGAGGGCTAGTGAGAAAGATGCAAGCAACTTTCCATAATTTGGTCACATTAACCCAGGAACCAAAGAAAATCACTAGTCATCAGTATTCTGAATGCTAACTTAGTTCATCGAGAATTTCCTCCTTTTAATTCAACTGATTTGTTTTAGAAACTTCTCATCAAAATTACATTAAACCATCTGGGTGGCTTCTACTTCATTTTAATACCCGTGACTTTTCCTTTTCTTCTCATTATCTGAGAGATTGTATAAGTATTTTCTTCAAGTTCTCTCATGGAATTTTTCCTTCTTTTGAGAAGCAGATTTTTAATTTTTTTCAACTTAAAATGAAAATTGTTCATTTTGTTAACTAAGCTATATTTTTTGGCAATTGCACACACATCTATAATGCATTTTGATTCTTTTCTGTTGCTTCCCCTTTCTTGTCTCTCTCTTCCATTCCAATCCTCTCACCTCCACAGTTCTTCTCACTACTCACTCTCCTAGGCTCATGACTTTTCATCTTACCTTGTGATCCACTTAGGTTAACTAGGGTCATCAATGGCAATATCCATTGGAGACTGTGGGGATAACCAGTGGATGGATACAAAAAGAGCCAAGGTTTTGCCAGTCTTCCTAAATATATCAGTAGGGAATACTACAGTATTGCAAAGTGAGGAATACTGAGTCTCTCCTCCACCGTTGCTTGGCAGTTGGTGGGCTAAAAGTGTTCATTCTTTCAAAAACTTTCCTCAAATCTTATGTTCAGAAAGTCATATCTTTTTAAGTGCATCTGGAAATAATAACTTGAAAGTCTTCTGTCATCTTCTGTTTTATTATTTGTCTTCTTTCTTCACCTTCAGAAATCACATGAAATGTTTTCTAAGTATTTCTTCACAAGTTCTTGTCATTTAAAGCTATGTAAATATTCTTGTTCTTTTTCATTTGACAGTTTATATTTTAATTCTGTTTTTAAGGAGTGTCAAAAATATTAAAGATAGGTATTTGTGTTATGCTTGTTTTTTGAAACTGAAGTTGGCCAAGTCCTTTTCCTGGTCAATTTTTCCAATTAAAACCACTTGGTTTTAGGAATTAAACATTTTACGTATCTTCTATGAATCTGCTGGCTGTGTTATTATTGTTAGTTTTAATTACTTATTAAAATTCAGGTTTCCATAAGAAGTACTTTATCAATTCAGAAGATGGTTCTTCATTGCTTAGTTCTATGATAAATATTAGGGATGTGGATTCCTGATTCTTGTGAAATCTTTGTGAAGTTATTTTGCTTTGTTGAAATTGCCTTAAGAAATGAGTTCACATTTCAGTGTCATATTCTTCCCATTCAATCTCTTCCACCCAGGTGAAATAGTTATGTAGCATCTCAATGAGATAGAATAGTAGAAAATAAATAAATCCACATCTATGCAGTTAAAGACAAAGCCATAGCACTTCACTTAAAGGGATGGACATTTCTGATTATATTCAAGAAAGAATAAACTACTACCTAGTATTTTCCTTTTATTTCCATGGTAATGAGAAAGCATCTTATGTAACAAATTGGAATGTCAATCATCTTAATCAATCAAAAAACATTATAAATTAAGGACCCCAAGAGAAAAGTATAGTGTAACCAGAGAAAGAATATGTTCTGGTTTATGTTTTTCAGGTGCCATGAATCATTTTTTAAAGTGGAAGAATGCTGCAGTTGTATTCATTATTCTCTTTTGTATTTTATGTGTCTTCATTGGGACTGTTTTCTATATTAATTTCAAAAGGAAAAGGTAAGCTATATGATAACTTGATGTGACAAAGAAACTAGGTACAATAGCACTAGTTGTGATTACTAGTTTAAAAAAAAATCCAATTGGGACTGGAAAAGCTCATCATGAAGAGGATATTGAAGAAAAAACTTACTCCCATAGACTCAGCAGTTTCTGACATTGAATAGTCATAAAGTAGACTGTTGGCCTTTCTGTTTACGGTGAGTTTTTTAAAAGACAACATTTGTTTATTTTTATTTTATGTTTACAAGTGTTTTGCTGTATGCATCTGGTGTCTTTGGAAGCCAGAAGAGGGTGTCAAAACTCAAGTTATAGGCAATTATGAAACCTTCATATGGGTGCTGGGAACTGAACCAGGATCCTCTGAACAAGCAACAAATGCTCTGAACTGCTGAGTCATCTCTCCAGCCTAGTTTTAAGATTCTTTATTCATCTGGGGGCAGTGATGGTGCATGCCTTTAATCCCCTCACTAGGGAGGCAGAGGCAGGCAGATCTCTGAGGCCTAGACCAGCCCGGTCTACACTGTGTGTGCCAGGACAGCTAGGGATAAAGGTACACAGAGAAACCCTGTCTTGAAAAACTGGGGGAAAATTCTTTATTGAGAACAAATTTTTACAGACTACAGCATAAGGCCTAGGACAGTAGTTGTTAAGGGACAAAGGTAGACTGAAAGCCTGAGATAGGTCCAGGCATAAGGTGAAACTGAGATCTTACTTTATAGGATTAATATAGTAAAACACACACCCATTTGTCCAGCTTTCCTAGTGGACAGCAATTCATGATGGAATGATAAGTGGAAATTAGACACCAGACCATGACAGTAGAAACCATAAACGTAATTGATAGCATGTGATTTGTTTTGCTGTTATTGTGTAATTCTGTAAATTTAAAAAAAATGGTTTTTTTTTCTACACATCTCAAGCCAAGAAAATGTATAAATCAAAGAATCATGTGCATCTTATCTATAATCTAGAAGGCTCTCTCAGTGGGAGCTGGAAGAGAAGTCTTAGAAGACAATAATGGAAAAACATTTTGAAGACTGCCTCAGTTAAATGATACAGGAGACAGATGGTAACTATCTAGACTGAAGAGGCAGAAAAGAGGAGGAGCGGTTAAGGTTATATTCAGGATGGGAAGGTTTCCTCAATAACAGGCATGGAGAAAGAGTGAGAAGAAAGAATTACTTTACTCAAGGTAAGAGTTTTAGCATTAAAGACAAATTTTACCAATCTGTACAGGAATAGAGAGTGCAAACAAACTGGAATTCTGCTTTGAATGTTGTCATTTTTAAATGCCTATTTTATACTTGAGGGAATATGTTAATTAAGTATCTACATGTATGAATCTGGGATTTGTGGAGCAAATGATAACTTTTGGAATATAGAGGCTGTGGTATCCATGGAAACAGATTATTAACTATTGCTCTTGCTATTTTAAAGTACAAACAGTAATCAAGTTGTGGTAATTTGCTCAAACTTAAGAGAATTTGTGTATGAATCTCTCTAACTCTACTTGATACCCTTTTCTTACAGTGTACTACTGTGAAGGGGAGTGTTAGGTCAGTATTCTGTTTATTTATGTAACAGCATCATGGTACCTCTAGGTCAGAGAACACATCCGAACCATCAACACAGATGCCTAACCCATTATCAACACTGGTGCCCACACCGTCATCAACAGAGGCAGAGAACTTAATGAGTCAACATAATCAGACGAAGACATAATTTGTGGTATATGATTTTTTGTCACTATATTCATTAAATTTAGGAAGTAACCTTAAAAATTTGATCATGCATTGGCTTGCAGCAATTATCGTTTTAGACATATGTGGAGAAAAATGTTTGTTTCAGTGTGTAATTCTATTCTGGAAGTAGTTATTCAAGTGAGGTTTAGTTTTTAAAATGTCTCTACATTTTGACAATAAAATTAATTTAACTGATACATAGTAATACAATGTATGGAGTACCATGTATATTTTGATCATGCCATACTATTCTTTATGTCCCAGGATTTATTTGTTTGTTTGTTTGTTTGTTTGTTTTTTGCTTAATATGGTTGAACCCCAAGTTCCAGTCATGTTGTTGCAAATGACAGAATTTCCTTTTTATGGCCAAATAGTATTCACACAGGTGTGTGTATCACATTTTCTCACTCTATTCGTCAGTTCCACACAAGTAGTTGCTTCATTTTTCATCTGTTTTAAACAGTGCTAGAGAAAACCAGACATCTCAGCATTTTTAGCATATTTATTTCTTTTCTCTTTAGATGTATATCCTGTAGATCAGATAGTAGCTTTGTTTGCATCTTTTTGAGAAGCCTTCATACTGTTTTCCATAATGGCCATACTAATTTACATTTCACACTCAGGATGCAATGGTTCCATTCTCCATTTGCATACACAACTTTTCTTTGTGTTTTTTACTTAAAAATTTAATTTTCATTTTACATACCAACCTCAGTTCCCTGTCCCTCTCCTTTTTTCACCCATGCCTCTCACCCTTCCCACCCCTATCCACCCCTCAGAGGGGGTAAGACCTTCCTTGGGACAGCAACAAAGTTTGGCATACCAAGTCCAGGCAGGAACAAAACCCTCCCACCTGTATCAAGGTTGAGCAAGGTATCCCACCATGGAGAGTGGGCTCCAAAAAAGCCAGTTCACACCCCTGAGATAGGTTCTGGTGCCACTGACAGAGTCCTGTTGCCCACATTAAGAGGGTCTAGTTATGTCCCATGCAGGTTCCCCAGCTGTCAGTCCATAGTCCATGAGCTCCCACAAGCTTGGCTCAGCTGTATCTGTGGTTTTTCCCATCATGCTCTTGACCCCTTTGTTATTATGATTCCTCTTCCCCCTGTTTAACCAAACTCCAGGAGCTCAGCCCAGTGCTTGGCTGTGGGTCACTGCATCTGCTTCCATCAGTTACTGAATGTAGGTTATTTTTTTTTCAACTTGTTATTTATTTATTTTTTATAACCAAGTCCATTTAAATGAAAACAAACATTTATAGACAATATTTGAGAATTTGGGCATCGTTCTTTTCAAACTACTTCCTGCTGGTAAGGGGTGCTGTCATGCGGGATTCTAAGAAGATGCAGAAATCCTGGCTGTCCTGCTTTGTCCAGCTTTTTTGAATGTAGGATCACCTGATACTCTGTTTCAGGTGGTCTGGCTTGATCAAACCACATTAGTCTGGAAGGAATCCACAGCTTTTCATTTTCTGTGGAAACAAAAATAGAAATCCTTTTCCCCACTAACTTGTCCTTGAACTTAAATTTTGGAGTCAAAGTATTTTTTTATTTATTATTTTACATGTCGATTCCAGTTCACTCTCCCTCCCTCCCTTCTTTCCTCCCTCCTTCCCTTTTATCCTCTCTGCCCTCTCACATGCACCCTAACCACCCTCCCCTCCCATCCCCCCACCCCAATTCCATATGTAGGGGAATGCCTACTATGAACATAGATGAGCAAATGACCTTGTGGTGTGATTGTGCATCCTTTGAGTGAATGCCCAAGAGTACCACTTCTGGTACTCTTTCTGAGTCTTGAAGTATATTGATTCCCAATTTTCTGAGAAACTGTCATACTGATTTCCAAAGTGACTGAGTAAGTTTGCACTCCCATCAGCAGTGGAGAAGTGTTCCCCTTACTTTACATCCTTTCCAGCATAAGCTGTCATCACTGTTTTTGATCTTAGCCTTTCTGATCGGTGTTAAGATGGTATCTCAGAGTCATTTTGAGTTGCATTTCCCTGATGATTAAGGATGCTGAGCAATTCCTTAAATGCTTTTTGGCCATTTGAGTTTCTTTTGATGAGAATTCTGCACACCATTTTTTTAAAATTTGATTATTTGGTATTCTGGTGTCTAGTTTCTTGAGTTCTTTATATATTTTGGAGATCAGCTTTTTGTCAGATTTGGGGTTAGTGAAGATCTTTTTCCATTTGTAGGCTGAATACAATGGAAAAAAGAAAGCATCACCAACAAACAGTAGTGCTATAACTGGATATAGACACATGCAAATAGATTCATAGCTTTCAACCTGTACAAAACTCAAGTCCAAGTAGACCAAAGACCTCAGTGTAAAACCACATACACTGAACTTAATAGAAGGGAGAGTGGGAAATAGCCTTGAATTCACTGGTACAGGAGAAAACTTCCCAAACACAACTCCAATAGTGCAGGTACTAAGATCAACAAATAATAAAAGGGACCTCATGAAACTGGAAAGCTAGTATTAGGCAAAGGACACTGTCGAAGGACAAAATGGCACCCTGCAGTATGGAAAAAGATCTTCACCAACCCTACCTCTCACAGAGGGCTAATTTCCAAAATATTTAAAGAACTCAAGAAATTAGACACCAAGACATCAAATAACCTAATTAAACAAACAATCCAATCTAAACAAAAAAATTCTCAACAGAGGACTATCAAATGGGTGAGAAATACTTAAAGAATTCTTCATCATCCTTACCTATCATGAAAATACAAATCAAAACAACTCTGAGATTCCATCTTAAACCTGTTGGAATGGCTAGGATAAAAATTACAAGGTGCAGCTCATGCTGGAGAGGATGTGGAGGGAAGGAGAACACTCCTTGATTTCTGATGGGAGTGCAAAAACTTGTACAGTCACTTTGGAAATCAATATGGTGGTTTCTCAGAAAATTGGGAATCAATCTACCTCAAGACCCAGCTGTATCACTCCTGGGCATATACACAAAGGACACTTCATCATGCCATAAGGACACTTGCTCAACTCTATTCATAGCAGCTTTACTTATTTGTAATAGCCAGGTACTAGATGTCCCTCAAAATGAAGGAATGAATGAAGAAAATGTGGTACATTTACACAATTTACTTAATTGTTAAAAAACATAAAGCATCATGAAATTTGCTGGCAAATGGATGGAACTAGAATAGATCTTCCTAAGAGGGGTGACCCAGACCCAGAAAGAGAAACATGGTGGTTGCATATATAAATCATCTTGGCCTCCAGCAGGTATCAAAGATTTGGTTATGGTATTAAATCTTAGCACATTCTGGAAGATGGAAGAGAAGACAGGAGTTGAGAAAGCTTTCTTTTGTGTTCTTCAAAAACTACTGCCAGTTGGATAGTGCTCCTGTCCCTGGATGGCTTTACTATAGCCAACCTGCAATTGCTTTGCCTGTTGAATGCTGCCCCATTCTTTAGTAATCACAGAAACACAGAAGAATATACAAGCATGCTTTGTTTTCAATTTCTTAAAATTTTTGTTTTATATGTATGTATCTTTTGCCTTCATGTTTGCCATGTGAGTGCCCGATAGCTGAGGATGCCATTATTCCCTTGAATCTGTAGTTACAGAAGGATGTGAGTATCCATGTGTGTACCGGGAATGGAATTCAGGTCTTGTGGAAAGCAGCCAGTGTTCTTAACCCTTGATCCTCTTCACATCTCTAGCCCAACTGTCTCTAGATCCAGTTCCCCCCTCCTCCCTCTGTCTCTCTCTCTCTGTTTTTGTCTCTGTCTCTGTCTCTCTCCTAGATATAGGGTTTCTTATAGCCCAGAGGACCCACCTACCTGACTCACAATAAGATTACTGGTACTTTATTTGTTTGTTTGTTTGTTTAGGTTTTTTGAGACAGGGTTTCTCTGTGTAGCTTTGGAGCCTATCCTGGCACTCTGTAGATCAGGCTGGCCTTGAACTCACAGTGATCCATCTGCCTCTGCCTCCCAAGTGATGGAACTAAAGGTGTGTGCCACCAATGCCCAGGTACTTTATAGTCTCTATTATAGAAGCATATTTGTATTTTTATTTATTTTTTTATTTTTATTTTACATATCGATCCCAGTTCCCTCTCCCTCCCTCTTTCCCTCTCTCCCACCCTCTCATGCCCCCATCCCCTCCCACTCATCCCCCACTCCAGATTTAGGGTGATGCCATCCAGGAGAGTCATCTAAATCTGTCAAATCATTTGGAGTAGGGACTAGGACTTCTCTCCTGTCCCTAGGTTAAGGCAGTATCCCTCCATGGGGGATGTGCCCGCAAGTTTCCTTAGATTTCTCAGGCCTTCTATCTGAGACCCATGTTCAGGGGGTCTGGGTCAGTCCCATGCTGGATACCCAGCTATCAGTCTGGGGGCCCATTAGCCCAATCCTGAATAAGGTAACCCAGTCATAAAAAGAGAAACATGGTATGTACTCGCTCATATATGGATTTTAGACATAAAGCAAAGGATCACCAGCCTATAATTCATACTGCCAGAGAAAATAGGATACAAGGAGGGTTCTAAGAGATTCATGCAAGGTTCCTCACTGAAGGGGAAAGGGACAAGATCTCCAGAGTATATGGGGAGTGGGAGGGCAGTGAGTAGAGAGGGAACTAAGAGAAAGAGAAGGGGAGGAGAGGAAAACACATGGGACTAGGAAGATTGAGTCAGGGAAGGAATAAAAGACAGAAAAGACATATATATATATATATATATATATATATATATATATATATATATATATATAGAGAGAGAGAGAGAGAGAGAGAGAGAGAGAGAGAGAGAGAGGCCATAAAAGAGGGAGCCATTATAGGTTTGAACAGAAAACTGAACCTAGAGAAATGTCCAGAGTACATTTGTCTTTTATTATGTATGAATCTATAGTGCATATTGCTAATTGTTTGTTTGCTCTGAGTTGGCCTGTAATCTAGGAAGCTGGAGAAAAAAGGAAGAAAGGGTAACTAGTTGTGGTGCTTGT